GTTTACAGCGTGCTTCTGTCTCCGCGCTGTTGTCGCCCTGTTGATGACATCAGCTACGCGGTTTCATCGAGCGCAGTTTAGTCGAACGCCATTTTGTGGTGGAACCGTATATGAGTGCTACAGCACCACCCTTTCTTCTTCTTCTTCTTCAAACTCAGCATTTTATTTTAGCCTACTTTTATAATGGGAACAAACCAAGATTATATGAAGCTGCACTGACTGATAATTTTGCTTTTTTAAATTTCCCCTTAGATCAAGAAAGTGTGTGGGTAGCCTCTGTATGCATTTCCACACAGAATCCCCAATACCAGGAGATATGGACTGACCTGTTGTACATCCTGTTGAAAGACACAGAGTTGAAGCCGTTGATGTAAGCGAACTTTTCGATGTTGCCAAATGTTCTCCAATTGCCTCTGGTGATGCAGGACTTCATGAATAACATCTAGGGCATGGTGTACTGCCTTGGAGTAATTGGCTGAAGCTGTTAGGGAATCTGAGCTCCCAGGTGTCAAAGGCCGCTGCAATTTGTCAAGCAGTGATTTCCCATCCTGACTTACCTAGAAAATAAGGATGAAGGTGTTTACATACTAGCTTGCAGAGTTCTATAATATGGAATTGCAACATTCGTTTTGCCATTTAGGTGTATCTTTACAAGAATGGCACGTTGGAATTTATTTTGGGTGAAATCAAACAAAGAAGAAGGGATTCAAGATTTCATTTCAACTCCTTTACCTGATCAAGAAATCCTACTTTTAGAAATAATCTTAAATTGTAAGAATTTATTGGAGAAGCTGGATTTCAGAGGTTAAAAAAAACTATTACAGACTCGAGTCTGGATCTATACCAGCAGTCACTGTTAAAATTACAAGCTTATTAAAATGCAAACCAGTTTGCATTTAATTTTATTATTCATCTTCAAAATGAATTTATCTTCACAAACCATAATATTGATTTAGAAAAAGGGAGATGTTACGTTTACAGTTGCATTTACACATTTCTCTATGTATGTCTGAGAAACAAAAAGGTTTCAGGTGCAATATACACAGGAAAAATTGCCATTATTTGGATAATGAAGTTAATAATGAGTCAATAATTATGCATCAGATTAAATGCAGACACAACATCCATGTTCCCAAGGTGTCATGGTATCAATAAACATTAAAATATAAGGTTTCCCAAAAGCTTCCAGATAGACAAAGGCCTCTGGTTGATTGGTTCAGACTGGATTATTTTTAGTTATATATTGGCATCCTTATAGCTACAGTATGTAATGCAAAAAGAATCCTTATGTCTCAAGAGAGAGACGAGGTGGCGCAGTGGTTAAATGCAGCACTGCAGGCTACTTCAACTGACTGCAGTTCTGCAGTTCGGCTGTTCAAATCCCACCGGCTCAAGGTTGACTCAGCCTTCCATCCTTCCGAGGTGGGTAAAATGAGGACCCGGA